ACAATGTCATGTTGTTTTTTTAAACGGGATATTAGAGTACAGTGACAGTTTTAAGGGTTCAGGGGTTTTTTGGCCTCAGTGGGAAAGAAGAGACCTAGAAAACACCATCTGTGATGAAAATAAGAATTTACTAAGGCCACCACTACTCTGATGGAATTGGAAAGCCTTCCTCACCAAGACGTGTGTGATATTCACTAGCCAGCTAGCTGCAGCACCAGACACGCACGCAATGCCAAGAGGAAGAAGCTGCACAAAGGCCAGCTATGTTTTCTACTGCACATGTATCCCCAGCTCTATAATCCAAATGCCTGGAGTAAGTCAAGGGTTGATGGTCTAGGAAAAGATCTTGTGCTAGAAAACTTGAAGGCAATCTTGCTTACATTTCTAGAAATAAAATACTCAGTGAGCAATCACTTAAGCAAGTCTTTCAAAGTCTGGATTATCTGTCACAGACAGCAATGGCAAATAATCCATTTGTCAAAAAGTGGCCCTTGTCATGCCTCGGGGTTCTTAAAGCACATCACTGCACTTCTTAGTTGGGTGCTGTGGATAGGGAAATCTGGGGGAGGGATAGGTGGACAGTTAAGAAATGAGAGTGAAGTGTCATAGAATTTTAATTTTATTCTGATGACTATAAACCTGCAATAAGAGTACATTTTTCCTCAAAAATTTACCAAAACATATTTCTCAGTGCCACAAGCCTATCTGTCAGAAATTTTCCAGGCTTACCTGCAACCCTAACAAACTGTGATTGTCAGGAGGACTATGCCAAGTCTGGTATTCCTCTAATTTAGGTTTAACTGCTCAGCACTGAGAGTGAGTATTTTCATGTGGCTGTTTATCAGCTACTTCATGGTTTGAAGTTTGCTGCATTACACTTTTAATGGGGCCTTGACAGAGCATCTGAAAAAAAAAAAACCCCACCCAGAACAAGAAGTGGCTTAGTTCCCATCTTAAATGTTTTGAAATACCGTCAAAAAGAGAGAAGGGTTGAGGTTGGAAGACACCTCTGCAGGTCATCTGGTCCAACCCCCCTGCTCAAGCAGGGCCACCCAGAGCCATGTGCCCAACACTGTGTCCAGATGGCTTTTGAATATCTCAAAGGATGGAGACTCCACAGCCTCCCTGGGAAACCTGTGCAGTGCTTGGTCACCCTCACAGTAAAACAGTGTTTCCTGATGTTCAAGGAGAACCTGCTGTGTTTCAGTCTGTGCCCATTGCCTCTGGTCCTGCCACTGGGCTCCACCGAGAAGAGCCTGGCTCCGTCCTCTTTGCACCCTTCCCTTCAGCTGTTTATGCACATCGATGAGATCCCCAGTGTAGGGGAGTCTCTCCAGTGGAGTCTTTCCAGTGTGTCCACATCTCTCTTGTACTGGGGAGCCCAGAGCTGGACCCAGCACTCCAGGTGTGGCCTCACCAGCGCTGAGTAAAGGTAGCTCACTAAAGTTATCAATCCCTAAGAAGGCACATATGCCCCAAGACTTCCCACATTTCTTCATTTACATCAAATTATCATTACCAGGTACTACTGTACCTATGAATTTAATCTTAAGTGAAAATCATCACTGGCATGCATTGAAAAAACCTTGTACTGATAGGAAGAACAGAACATAACCATCTACCACAATTCCTCCTCTGCAGATGTCCTCTGCTTCCCCCTACCTGAAAGACACTGAAATTCCTAGTAATGTGAGAAATAATTCTACCTTCAGGCATCTTCAGATCTTCTTCTTTGAAATAAGGTCCCAGTGTCAAAGAGCAGTACATAACACTTACAAACATGCCGAGTACTTCAGCACAAAGTGCACTGAAGTGCTAATGTCACTGCACAGTTCTCATTCAGTAAAGCATCCCTTCAAAAACGATCCAATATCCCATAAAGATTTACCACCGAAGGGCTTCTCTGACTGCATTTTTATCTGTACGTTCTTACCCAGGTTTCAACAAACATATGATTCTGCAATAATATATATAAAAACAATCATAACAAAATCCATTCCAAAAGCAGAAGTCATGGGAAAGTCACGGCATGTGTGACCCAATATGCAAAATCATTGCCAGATGCTGGTTTCCGCTCAACTAACAGCCCCATGACAGGAAACTTCTGCTTCATCGCCCCTCCCCACGCTTAAAGCTGAATATATTACATGTATTCCACAATATCAACATTGGTTAAGTGTATCTAGTGTCAAAAACATTGGGTTTGCTTAGCTTGCTTTTGATTTTTACCATCAATACTGACCAATCCAACTCTACATTATCTAGCTGAGAGTATTCAGTTATTAAATAGGGCTGTATCTCATCCCATGGAATAATTTCAGTGAAGAGAGGCAAATATAGTTCCTCCTCAGACTTCTTCCATACCACATAATAAAGATTAGTTTTCTATTGTCAAAAACACTTTGAACAAGGAAAAACACTTTGAGGGTCCTTTTCTTTTTAAAGACATTGGAAATTGAAAAAAGACATTTAAACAAAGTTCCTTTACACACTGTAATAAACTGCCCTTAGAAAGTGAGCTGTAAAAGTTCTGTCAGATTATTTTTCTCATATTTCTGGATACATCTGAGATTGCCTCAGGTATTTAGGAACTTAATTTTCCAGTTTAAGTATTAGATATTACATAAATAGAATGACTATTTCCATCTTACCGTTCTGGTTTTGCTTCTTCTGGCAACATTGAAAAGAACTGATACAAGATTTTCTGTAACGCATCTTATAACCAAAACTTCAAGCATACATATATATTCATTACTGCTCATTTGGTTCTAAATTCTGAAGAAAATTATGGATTTCCTTCAAATTACAAATTCTCTCTATTTCAGAAACATTCACTGTAGGCTGCCATCATTTGAAATCTGGCAGTGAAATGCTTCACATTAAACAGCTTTATTCCAGAGTGCTGAAACTCCAGCAGGCAAATAAATCCTGTGTCACAGAAAACAGTTATCAAAATAATCTCCCACAGTTAGTTGCTGAAATGTCAGATGAAACATTTTCCCTAGATGGCCAAGGAAAAAACAAAACAAAAACCAGAAAACACCACGCCTTACTTCAGTAGACATGTTTAGAATAGCTTCACTTTTGAAAGTCCCATAAATGAAAATACATCCCCAAACTCTACAGGAGAAGTAGGTCACAAATAAAAAAAATAGACTGAAATTGAAGCTGTTCAGGAGAAAAAATATCCAGGAAGGCCAGGTACGGCATAAATCACTAAGAGGAACAGTTGCATAAACAGGCTGCATCCTCACAGCAAACTCAGATTATGCTGAAGACACCACAAAAATACAGACGAGTTCATACCATCTTTTGTTTAAGTCTCTCGCAAGAATTCAGAGACAGAAGCTATTTACCAAAGACCACAATGACTGGAATGCTTGTGTTCAGAGTTCTCATTTTAAGCCCCAATTCAGAAAATGAATTAGCACTTTCTTTCTGATTTGTCTAAATCACACAACATTCCCAATGTGAGCCCTGATTAAATTTATAAATCATATTCATCACATTGGGTTTTTCAGGAAGAACAACAACCGAAGACTCATACCAAATTACTAAGTATCCACGTTGTAGCTTCACTGTCACCACATCAAGAATATATGGAACCAAAAAAAGGATAAAGTAAATGTGCAAAATTTATTATGTTCTTCAATAAACACAGGGATATAAAATATATAACATTAGATCACATCGTCAAAATCTAAAAAAAAAAAATATAAAAATCATCAGTTGCTTGTTACAATAAACACACCACATGAAGCTCAAAACCACTTTAAATCAATTTCTTCATAAAAATAAGTCACTTTTAAAAATTGCTTCAGAAGAAAGTGGTATGCAAACTGAGACATTATTGCCGCATATCCTTATAATGTGTACAAAGAAAAATCTGTTAGCAAAATAAGACTTAGCCAAAAAAATCTTTGAATGGCAAGCATCCTCACCATTCTGTTAAAAGGCATTTTCTAAATTCAACTTGGGTCCTTCCAATTACAGAAATAGGTTTCCTCCTTGTTAAAAGAGATTCATGTTTCTAAATACAATTCAATTGGAAGTAAACATTTTATGCTTCTGGTTATGTAGTCATGGGCAAAAAAAAGTTAATGAAGAATATGCCTCTTAACATGCCTTATTTAAATAACAGTATTCTCTAGTTTCTTCTTGCAGTGTACATCTGGTTGCACATTCATTTTATGCTAAATGCAGTGCAAAACAATTTGACCCAACCTCTATTTATAAAGAGCCTCCACTACGAAATATTTCTTTATAGTAAAGTGAAGTGAACCTCCTTCCTGCCTTTTCCCCTCCCCATACTTGCCCAGATTACCGAGTGCTGTGGGAGAAGAACACAGCGACACAGATACATGATCAGGCAAGTGGGCATCAGGAGCATCCTGCAGCCATGGCCACAAGGAATTCTACAAGGACGCTCAGAGAAGCCACCTCACTGATGCCATTGTTGGTCTCTCTGCATCTTTTGCTCTGGACCTGCAGAGCCAAAAAAGCACCGCCCCTGAGACGACTAGAAGAGAAGGTCAGAAAAGTTCTTACAGTTGTATCTGGCATCAATTTCCTTCTGCCTGTGTAAACATTGTAAGATTCAATACTGCAATTTAAGGCTTCTGCCACAGCACACACTGGCGTTCAAAACAAACCTCCGAGAGCGCGAGAAACTCTTCTTGTGGAACAGAATAGGCTTTCGGTGAGGTTATCAGGCTCAAGTATATAAAGTGTACATGTCTGCTCCTCTTTACGCAGATGGTACTCTTTTTAGCACATGACGAAAAGTCAGTCAAAATGGTGTAAGGTACGAGGAGTCGATTGTGTTTTAACTTCAGTCAGCTTGCAGCAGAGAGGGTACGTAACTTCCCACTAAGAAAGTGCACATTTGGAAACCTGAAGACAAAGATCCCAAAGTCACACTGTCTTCCTTAGGCTGTGACTTTCAAAATAAGTGTTTATTACGCTGCCAGTCCCATATACGAATTTTATTTTCTTAAAAGTTATACTATTTCCTTTTCTAGTGTTTCTTCTGACACTTTGATCCCTGAAGTATCATCATCATAAGAATAATTTCCCGAATCTCGACTGCTCTGTTTAGAATGTTTGTAGTCTTTAAAATCAATTTGGTTTACTTCTTCTGTGATGCTAATCTCAATTATAGAACATTTTTCTGTTGGTTCTTCTCTAGTTGACTCATAAAGACTGCTGAAGGGCTGTCCTTCAAAACCCTGCAAAAAGAGAAGCAGAAAAGAAGAGATGAACATTCACACATGATACTTAAATAATGATTCTGCTTATGTCCACAGCTGTACAAGTCTGGTTTATCGTATTCAGTAGTATCATCATGAGGTTTTCTACCTATAATATGCCGTTTGTTTCCCTAAGTTCAAACTCAAAGTTAGGATGAAGTTTAGTTGCATTCCTGTAATCAAACACTAAAGAATGACTAACATTAATCTTCACTCTTTTGCTATACTTGTAGTTGTCAAGCATCTATATAATTGCAATATTTCGTTGATTATAGCCTTATGAGGCCACACAAGAACTAAAGAAAAATTCTAATTTAGAACACTTTCAAAGACCATGTGGTAGCACAAGGATGACAGGTGTGTGTTTGCAAAGCCTACAAATCAGTATCAGTTATAAAGCAAAGTTTGAAAGAAGAAACAGAACGTGAGCTGCTGCAGCAGGATACCAAGCCTTATACAGCTCTCAACAGTGCACTTCTGTCTATCCAACGTGCTTTAAATCCATTCTCTGAAGTGGTCATTTATATCAAATTCATCACAAAAGGTTCTAAATGTGCATTGCATTATGTTATGTTACCAGTATTCTACTGAGCAAACCAGCTAAAATGCTGCTGTACAAATAAATTGAATTCAGATTAGCTCTTGTAAACTATGAGATTGTTTTAAATTACAACTTTATTCAGAAAGCTTTGTATACTACATATCGTAGGTGCTTCAGTGAGATGATGACGCACGTTAGGAAGGCCATACACTGCTCAACATCAATGTTCTGAGAGACACAGAAGAAAGCACAGTGAAAAGCAGTTCTTGCTACATTTCAAAACATACCTACATTTACGTGTTGCCCTGTTTGTTCCAGAACAGGATCCCTACTAAGTACTACCTGTGCCAAGCTGAGCTGGAAATTGGACAACATCTGCCTTTTTAGAGACCATCCAGCCTGCTTGGTCAGGAGACGGTAGAAGCATTTGCTGCCTGCTACACCAAAATTTCCTCTGAAGAGTGGGCTAGCATGTTTGCCTCCTCTAAGCTTTAAGGGATAGCAAAAAGGCTAAGAGCATGCTCTTCCAGTTAACACAATGGGAAAATATTTCAGGTCTCGCATAACAGGGCAAAAGTACATTATGACATTGGGTAGACATGCACATTCTCTGGAATGAAGGACTGTTAGCAACACTTCTGCACAGATGGAAGAAAAAAAAAAGTTAAAATATTTGCTGATTGCAGAATTCTAAAAATTGGTACTACCCACTTTTTCCATAGGAATTCCTGCACTTCATTAAAACCTATAAAATTGATCTTGGTATACTCATAAGACCACAGGATAACAGATAAACACCTTTTCATAATATTTTCTGTTCATTTTTCTATAGATACATTTACTTAATGAATGAGAAAAATGTGTCTCATCTTACCTTTATGTTCAAAGGAGGCTGGCATGAGGGAAAGAACACGTATTTGATCTTATTGTAGGCTTGATACAGGGCAAGTCCAAGCAGTGCAGCCACAAGCAGGACAACAACCAGGGCAGTTACAAATGTTGCTAAAATGATCAGAGGTAAAATTTTATCTAAAAAAGTGAATAAAAGCCATTCAGTCTAGCTATTCATAAACTACAAAGATTGAAGAACAGATTCTCTCCAAATGTGCTACAGTATTTATCATAAAAACTCACATTTCTACAGTACTATACCCAGCCATGATCATCATTACAAAACTGATGCCATTCCAGTATCTTAGATGAAGTTATTAAAAACACAGCACAAAATATTTATCCAATATAAGAACACAGGCATTTACAGACAGTAGCAGAACCAAGATCCAGTTATTCTCAGTTATACGTTCACTATTTGACAGCAGGGTAAAACGTGTGCACATAGACAGCTACCATGAAGCACTTGATGCACGTAAGTCTACTGTGCTGTTGCCTGCGTATGGGGTCTAACCCCAAGGAACATAATATGTAATTGATAGAGCTCTCTCCTTTAAAAAGGCAGCAATACAGGAGTAAGAATTCCCACGGGTTATGGCATAAGAATGGGCAATTACTACAGTGAAGTTGGTCCACGGTTATTTAGCCAGGGAATGATGAGAGAGCCTAGACTTGCAGGGTCTTCAGGGGCCCGAAAGCATCCAAATGATTTCTGGGACAGAAGAGGAACTCCAGCTGTAAGCTTCATATGACTACAACGTAGCCAACAGAGAGAAAAAGGAACCTCTGGTGAGCATCTATTCCTTTCAGATGCTTACTTGAGAAATCAGTCCTAAGGCTATTCCAGTTATTTTCTACACTGGTAGTCTGGACACTAGGTCAGCACAAGATTTTACTTTGTCACTACAGAAAGGCAAGATGAATTTCACTTCAATGCTCATAGTGTCATCAACTTGATGACACCAGGCTGACTGGTGCAGCTGATTGACTTGAGGGAATGGACACAACCCAGAGGGACCCTGAAAGGCTTGAGGAGTGGGCCCACGTGAACCTCACAAAGTTCAACAAGGCCAAGTGCAAGGTCCTGCACACGGGCTGGGGCAACCCTCAGCATCAATACAGGCTGGAGGATGAAGGGATTGACAGCAGCCCTGCCGAGAAGGAAGTGGGGATACTGGTGGGCAAGAAACTGGACATGAGCCAGGAATATGTGCTCGCAGCCCAGAAGGCCAACCATATCCTGGGCTGCATCAAGAGCAGCATGGCCAGCAGGGCGAGGGAGGGGATTTTGCCCCTCTGCTCCGCTCTAGTGAGACCCCACCCGGAGTCCTGCATCCAGCTCTGGAGCCCTCTGCACAGGAAAGATATAGACCTGTTGGAGCGGGTCCAGAGGAGGCCATAAAAATGGTCAGAAGGTTGGAACACCTACCCCCATCCCTAGGAATAAAGGCTGAGAGAGTTGGGGGTGTTCAGCCTGAAGAAGACAAAGCTCCGGGGAGACCTTACTGCAGCCTTTCTATATTTAAAAGGGGCTTATAAGAAAGACAGAGACACTTCTTACCAAAGCCTGTAGTGATGGGACAAGGGCCAATGGTTTAAAACTAAAAGAGGGTAGGTTTAGGCTGGACATAAGGAAGAAATTCTTTACTATGTGGGCGGTGAGGCACTGGCAAAGGTTGTCCAGAGAAGTCGTAGCTCCCCCTCCCTGGAAGTGTTCAAGGCCAGGCTGGATGGGGTTCTGAGCAACCTGATCTAATGGAAGGTGTCCCTACCCATGGCTGGGGGGTTGGACTAGATATCTTTGAAGGTCCCTTCCAACCCAAACCATTCTATGATTCTATGGTCCTGTATTCCTGTATTAACCCAGGAACTGTGGAAAACCTTCTAACAGGCTAGGCTCAGTTCCGGAACTTAAAGTTGGGAAATTATGGTAGCAGGAGTTTCAATGATGGAATCCAGCTTTTAATAGTAAAATATTGTACTCAAAGAAACCTTTTATCTGTATAGTCATAAGCTATTCAGTGCTTAAGTTCCACAGTCTTGCAAGCTTCCTTCTCCCGTCCTCTCTCCTCCTTTGCAACATATTCTGTCATGATCTCTAATAAACAAACTGAAGGGAGTCTGAACATACGAAAAATAACACATACCAGAAGACAATAAGAATAATCAAGAGGAGACAATCAGGTCTTTTTATCTCTATGTCCAGTTAGTACGAATGATCAAGGAATAAAAGAATTCCACACTGGGGTATAAAAACAGATGGCAAGTACAGGGAAGTCATCTGTATGACTGCATCTCTCAGTACAGAGTCTTGAATGTATGGCTTCGTCTTAAATGGGCTCATTATAATAGAAAGACATCGAAAAGACAAAGCAGTGAGGACTACAACATAAGTGAATCTTCAAAGCTTAAGATGTGAGAAAGTAGCATTACTATTATTACACTTTCTTAGCTTTAAGTCTGTTGGGATATCTAGTAATTTTTTCTAGTGTTACAGCCTGTTAATAGAAGATAATTGGCCAAATTAAATTCCACAGATAACTTGCTCTTATGTGTAAATCCATCTACATATGTATTCTCCTTTTGCATAAAGATGAGCTTTCAGCTGTAATGAGTCTGATAATTTGTTTCCTCACACTTCAGCACAGGATTTCTAAAAATTTAATTCATTCACAGAAGAATTAAGACAATTTCAAGAATAAAATATTCTTGAAAATGTAGCATTTAGTGATTCCTTGCACCCTACTAAAATATCTTAAAAGTAATGGAAATTAAATCTTGCCTATTAACAAGTCATTGTACAGAACTAAATTTAATTCACAATCATTACAGTTATCAACCTGAGATAATTTCTGAACTGAGTAGTGTGAATGTAATTTTGACCAGGTCAGAACAGAAACAGTTTATTAGTTTAGCTACAGGAGAGAAGACAGAGCAGCAACATGGCAGCCTGCTAGTACGGATCTCTGCCCAACTAGGTGCTAACTCTGTGAGGCCATTAATCATGCTGCAAATATTTTTTAACTAATGAGACCTACAAAGGCCTATGAAGGGTTAACAATTTTACTTCCAGAGATGTAACAATTCCCAAGCTCTTCCTACCTCCAGGTGTTTTGATGCATTCCTCTTTGCTGAATTGACTGCTTTTGTTGTAAACTTTTGAGAATGCTTGCACTTTTACACAGTACAAAGTTGAGGGTGTTAGATCAGAGACTGTCCCTATTGTCTGTTTTATCTCTTTCATTTTGATTTCCTGCTGTCTGCTGAAAAAGATAAATTGGCAGAATAAGATGCATATAAATAGTACAAGAATCACTCCATTAGATTGGAATTTTGGCCTCTGCTGAAGAAATAATTCTGACTGCATTGTTTTATGATACATATAGCTATAAAACTGCAAATACAGAAAGAAAAGAATTTCACAGAATCACAGAATGGTAGGGGTTGGAAGGGACCTCTGTGGGTCATCTGGTCCAACCCCCCTGCCGAAGCAGGATCACCTACA